TGAAGCAACATCCTCCACAACTAGACTGAAGAACAAAAGGACAGCAACTTGTCTGTTCCCCTTCCCCCAATTCCCCAGCACTGTTCTCATCCCCCCAGTTCCCCAATAAAAATCTTTAAAAAAAAAAATTCCTTTTTAAAACTAACAAATTCCAACTCCTTTTAACACTACCCCCAAATTAATTTACTCTTATAGAGTACCCAAACCTAAACCTAATATTCCAGGTGTGAGCCAACCAGTTCTGGGGTCAGGTAATGTAACCTTCTCATTCTAGATCTAACATTTCCCTAATGAAATCAGTTACTGCCGGCCACATCAGTTCTTCTCACAGTCTAACCACACCACTGATTAACATGACTGAGACTCCACTTCTTTTTATTACATGAGCCCCTCCTAAGTCACATTTCTATCTTCATTAACTGGTATAATTGAATTTTTTGGACCCAAGTGAAATGCCTCACATTTATTTGACCATTCCATTTTATTAAATTGCACTGGGAAAATCTTGAGATTAACCAAATGATACTTTCTTCACTTTATTAAGGCAATACATTTGATAAACACACCTTCCAGATAAGGCTTCAAAAACAGACTATGTATAAACAAAGCGACAGAGCCTCAACTCAGGTTACCAGAATCCCAGCTGTAAGTTGTATCCATAACTCAAACCTCTCCGGACACAGATACTCAAAGTCATGGCTCCATCTAATTTTACCACAGTCTGGCAAATTCCTCCATTTCATTCATAGGGCCATCATAAAAAAGTTCACAAATGCCTTGTTAAAACTGACATTTGGGGGCCGGCTGAGTGGTTCAGTTGGTTAAGAGCTCACTCAAGAGTGTGAGCTCTGAGCAACAGCGGTTCGATTCTGGGCCTGAGCTGAGCTGCCACTGAGCTACCAACAGGTGACAGGATGGCTCAGCTAAAAAAAACAAAAAACAAACCTGACATACTATCACTATGGATACTATATTCCTTTGGGCCACCATGTGCATGTCCTTGTCCTGTTGTTCCGGCTGAATGTAGAACTCTAGTAACTGCTACTCTGGCTGAGAAGAACAGAAAAATGACACATTTTCTACTTTGCGTTAATTACAGAATCTTAGGAATGAATCACAAGGATCTTAAACATTTTCTAGTCCAGTGTTTTTCAAACTACAGGTCTTTAGCCATCAGGCCCATTAGCAGTCAGAGTCAATTTAGTGAGTTACAATCAACTTATTTTTCTTTTAATGAAATGACATCAGAGGGCATCATATGTAGAAAGGGTAAACTTTTGTGGTGTGTGTGTGTATACGCTGTGCATGCAGGGAGCATACTGAGTCATGATGTATGTGTCTAACTGTGGGTCACAAGTCATAAAAGTTTGACAAAAACTGCTAGTCCCACAGCCCTATCCCCACAAGGAAGTGCCACCAAAATATTCTTAGTAATCAAAAAGTTACATTATTGGGGCCAGCCGAGTGGCGCACTGGTTAAGAGCTGGCTTGGGACGCCAGAGGGCACCGGTTTGGATCCCACATGAGGGCCAGTGACACTGCCCTCTACAGCTAAGATGGTGAACAGCGGCTCCACCTGGAGCTGGGCTGCCGAGAGTCGCCGGCGACAGCATAGGCTGCAGCCCCTGCTGCAGTGGGCTGCCATAAGCTACCGGGAGTGGCTGGCAGCCAGTGTGAGCTGCCAAGAGCTGCTGTGAGCAGTCGTCCAGAGGCAGGCGACCGATCTGCCTCACCAGGAAAGAGTGCAATGATAATACCAACATGGGCCAGTGAAGCGACGTCCTCCACAACTAGACTGAAGAACAAAAGGACAGCAACTTGTCTGTTCCCCTTCCCCCGACCCCCCAGCGCTGTTCCCCTCCCTCAATTCCCCAATAAAATCTTAAAAGAAAAAAGTTACATTATTTATAACCATCTTCACTTCATAGAGAAACCAACAAATAGGAATTCTGTGCTCAGTACACCTAATTTGCTCTTCATAAAAAAAAAAATTTTAAATTAAAAAAAAAAAGAGAAAGACTAGAATCCATCTGAGGTTTCCAGTTGAAATATGGGCTCGCTCAGAGACGGTCACTTATGCTTTGATGGGATGAAGACCAATATCAACAGACAGAAGAATGAAGTTACTTGAGTCTGAGGCTAGGGAAGAGAACAAAAGCCATTCTTGATCTCCAGTTCCTCATGGTATCACGGGAGAGGACTGTTAGGATTCCTCCTAGCTCTGGAATTGGGAGATTTATTCAAAACCAACTGGCCAACGAGGTGAGGACTATGCTTCTCACACACCAAAACACATTCACCACTTCAACAAGTCAATTAATGCTAAATTCAATCAATATCACACAGAGTACTGATGAGAAGCTCAGACTTACACCACCACCAAGAAACAATCAAGAGGACGTCCCCAGGATTTTCAGCAGAAGCTGGGTCCTGGCAGGTATCATTAATTTCTCAGCCACACTGCCCTTTCAGACCCCGGTTCACCTCTGTCTTCAATTTATCAGTCATGGATGTGGCACCCGCTCTCTTCCCTGCCACCCTACTCTACTGTGGAAAAGGAAACTGAGGCCCGGGGCAACGAGTGGGCGAGCTGCAGCAGTCATCCACAAGGCCAAATCAAGAGCCTAGGCCGCTAAATGCCGAACACCTCACCCAATTCCCAGACTGTTTAGAATCCCGCCGTCCTCTGCCTCCCCTCAAACTACACCCCCGAGGCAGCCCCTGGTTTCTGGACCCCTGCGTGCCCGATGTGGCTGGCCCCAGCTCGTGCCAGTCTCTACAATGGTCTCCGAGGCCTGGAACCCCGAAACCTGAAAGCAACCCCGCCTGGCAACCCCGGAAGACCCCTCCCACGAGTGCCCACAAACCAGTCGCCGCTCCTCGCTCCCACCTCAACGCCGTCGGGCCTGTGCCTCCACGGCACACCAAACCAAGCCGACCAGCCACACCAGGGAACCCAGAGACGGTGGGGCTACTCCACGCCCACCCCCACAGCGCAGGCCTCCACTGCCGCCGGAAGCGCCCCGCGCCTCCACGCCACCGTCGTGAGATCACTTCCGGCGCGATGCCTTGGAAACCTCAGGGCACGCCTTTGGGCTGGGAGGCGGGGCGCCCGGGAAATTTGAGCGTTTGGGAGCGCTCCGCGAAGGCCTGGCCTGCGGCCTTCCAGAATTCCACCGGGGCGGCCGTCTTGCGTGCCCATTCTACTTATATCGGCTGGCTCCTGGTTAGCGTTGGTGTCCTGCCCCCCCCCCCCCCCCCCCCCGGCCCAGATGCCCAGGGGACTCCGCTTTTTTTTGCATTCTTGATGACAAGCTTCGGGTTTCTCTCCTGTCCCCCTTGCCCCCATCTCCAAGCAAGAGCAGAAGACTTGGGGGAAGGGGGCTGGTGACGTGAACCCCATCCTTGATCAGTCGCAGCTGTGGGATGCAATAAATAGGCTTTCGGGACGGATTATAGGAAACAAGAAATTCCCTTCTTGGTTGATCTTCACAGCTTATCAGCTTCGACTCATTTGGGGGTTAGTGTCAGCCAGTCTATGCTTGACTGTCCCCCCACCCCCACCCGTCCCCAAGTGCTCTGTACACGCGAAAGTGCCACTCTTCTTCTCGTGGCATTTTACAATAGTTTTGGTAGTCTTGATTTTGAAAAAAGCAGGTGTTTAGGGTCACGACTGAGTGTCATGATGAATTTTAGAGCTTAAAGTTTACAAGGTCATCTCGAAGCCTGACACCTGGTTTGGGAACCACTGCTAGGGCAGGCAGCATAGAGTAGGGCAGCGATCCAAACCTGACTTTTCAAAATCAGTTGAGGAACTTTATAAAATTTCCACTTTTCAGGGACTCTCCCCTCCCATCCCTCATCACCTGAGATTCCAGTAAAGGGAGACGTGTATAGATAGCCAAAGAAATGTGAGTAAGCGTGGCCCATCCAGGAAAATATAAGTAGTTCAACTGGATGGAGCATATATGTAAAAAGAGGAAGTGATGATAGATTGATCTACAGTGATAAACAGGAGCCAGATCCCAAAGGACTTTCTATGCCCTAAGGAGCTTGGGTTTATCCTAAGGACAATGTAAAACAAATGAAGAATTTTAAGCAAGAAACTGCTTATGGTGGGAGTGAGACCAATTGGCAAATGATGACAATCCAAACTAACTTATTACAAGTGGGGTTATGAGGTGAAGATAGACATTGTAAAGATGTTGAGGAGATAAGATCAACTCCCAGGTTTATGGCTAAGGCAAAAGATTGGTGGTGCTACTTGCTCAAATATGGAATTGAAAAGGATGAGGAGGTTGTGGGCAGGCAGTAATAGAGGAGGAAAACAAGGTAGATGAAAAATTCAGGTCTGTATATATGTTGAGCTTAAGGTATCTGTGGGAGCAGTTAAAAATCCTTAGACATGGGGAATTGGGGGCCTTGCCCTAAACCCCACACTTTAGATGGCCCCCACCCTGGTTCTCCTCAAACCAAGCCTTTCTCTGTGGGGCTAAGGAGACATGACTACCCAGAGCTCACACTCCCACGTTCAGACCTGTTCCATTTCTCATTCCCAAATTTCCTCCCAAATGGCCTGAGTCCACTTTCAGCCCATAGCCAAGTCTCTTCCCCAGGTCTGTCCTCCTGAGGGTGAACCTCGCTGCTATAGTGTAATACTCCTAGGCCCATGGGATGGCTAAAAATGTGGCTGTTTGGGAGGAGTGTGAATGGGGCTTGGAAATGTAAGCCGGCATGTTCACACGTGTGGACCTGAGAAGCCCCTCACAGTATGGCATAGAATAGGGGTGGGAAGAAAAGGGGAACAGGTCAGGGATCTCCATGTGTACTCTTGCCCTGGCCATGCTCATGTTAGGAGTGGGCCTGCTATAGGGCATCTGGTGGGAAACGGGCTATATGGCTCTGGAACTCAGGAGAGAGATGAGATTTAGAAGTCATCAATAACCAGGCAGTAATTAAAGTCCCCGTAACAGGCGCTATGGTCCAGGGATAACATACCACATGAGAAGAGCCGAAGGCCAAGGACGGAACTCCGAGGAACACCAGCATTTAAGGGATACACACAGGAAGACAATGGTTCAAAGGAAATTGAGAAGCAGTAGCTAGGAAAACAGAAGAAAACCCAGCAGTTGATGATGTCAAAGAGACCCAGGAAAAAGAGACTTTTAAGAGAGTGGTCAACAGTGCTAACTACTGCGAAGAGGAGGAAGTCTGAAAATGTCCATTAGACTTAGCAACCAGGAGGTCCCTGGTGATTTTGATAGGGGTTTAATCATGGAGTGACAGGGTCAGAAATCAAATCTCTGTGGGTTGAGGAGCAAATGGGAGGTGCAAGTGGAAGCAGTGAGTGTAGACAACTTCCAAGAAGTTCGACTGTGAAGGTGAGAAGTGAGCTACAGCAATAGCTATGGAGGCAGGTGGAATAAGGTAACGGTTCAGTGACAGAATTTACTAGTCACCAAATTCTCTTGAAGTCTTCCCAAACTCCCCAGTTAGAGAACTCCACCAAGAATTGCTGGTTATAGACAGTATCTGAACTGGATGGACCCTACCCGACCCTACAGTCAAGTTTCTGGGAACCACTGTAGATAAGTGGGCACCCACGTGCGTCTCCTGCCATATGGAGACCTGCTTCTGCTTTCATGTGCTGCAGTCTACACTAACGTCTCCAACAGGGACTCAACCATTGGAGAATTAAACAAAATTTTAGGTTGAGAACAGCACAGCACTAATCTACAGCTCTTGACTTGATGGCATGTCATGGAGTTCTAGAATGGCAGAGCTGGAGGAACGTTAGAAATGGCCTACTTCACCCCCATTAGTATAAGTGAGGGTTTAGCAAGTTCATTGTGGATCCAACATGGGATTTGGGTCTCCATTACTTACACATAGGGGAACATATGTCCTGGTTTGCCTGGAGCAGTCCCAGTTCTGCCTGTTACCCTGTCGTTATGATCAATATCATCCCCTTTACTCTCAAATATGTTCTGGTTTAGACAATAAATTGTAAGTCACCCTACTTATATAGTATATGTTTGGGGGCTAAGCAAGCCCCAAATTACTAATTATTTAAGGTTATTTTTCTTTCATGGGATCTCAAGAGTTTAAGTGTCTTAAACTTTTACATGTCATTTTTTTTTCAGCTGAGCCATCCTGCCACCTGTTGGCAGCTCAGCAGCAGCTCAGCTCGGGCAGGGAATCAAACCGCTGTTGCTCAGAGCTCACACTCTTGAGCGAGCTCTTAACCAACTGAGCCACTCGGCCAGCCCTTACATGTCATTTTATAAGTGAGGTAATGTACATGAAAGCAGGTCCCAGACTATAAAATGCTAAACAAAGGTTAGGATTAAAAAGAATAACCTTGGATTAAGCAAGTGTTTCTTAAATATAACACCAAAAGTACAAGCAACAAAAGAAAAGATAGACAAATTGGACTTCATCAAAATTTTAAAAATTGGGCCGGGTAATTGGCTCAGTTGGTTATAGGGCAAGTGCTGAGCAACAAGGTTGCCAGTTCGATTCCCACATGGGCCAGTGAGCTATGCCCAAACTGAGCTGCCGCTGGGTTGCCAGTAGGCAGCTGGATAGTTCAGCTGGTGAGAGTGTGCTCTTAACAAGGTTGCCAGCTCGACTCCCACGTGGGACAGTGGGCTGCACACACCGCCCCCGCCCCACAACTAGATTGAAAGCAGTGACTGGACTTGGAGCTGAGCTTGCGCCGTCCACAACTAAGATTGAAGATTGAAGGACAACAACTTGACTTGAAGCTGATGGGTCCTGGAAAAACACAATGTTCAACCTTGTTGTTAAGAGCACATGCTCTAACCAATCACAATGCTATGTGGGAATGGAACAGGCAACTCTCTTGCTCAGAGCACATGCTCTAATCAACTGAGCCACCCGGATGCCCCTAAAGTAATTTTGAACTATTATTACAGCTAACTAGTTTTTTGTGTTTTTTTAAAGGATTTTATTGAGGAACAGTGTGTTTTTCCAGGACCCATCAGCTCCAAGTCAAGTAGTTGTCTTCAATCTATAATAGTTGTGGAGGGTGCAACTCCGTGGCCCACGCGGGATCAAACCGGAAACCTTGGTGTTATGAGAACTGCGCTCTAACCTCCTGAGCTAACCGGTCACTCCTATAGTTAACTAGTTTTGTTCCCTCAATATAATCAGCCTATATGATGTACTTTTTCTACATTAAAGTTATTAATTGTAGACCATCAGAAACAGAAATTAATTTTCATGAATGAGCCTTATCACAATTGCACCTGGTGGCATCTTTAGTAAAATATCTTAACTGAAGAGATCTCATCAGTATTCTTAGAGACAAATGATAAATCCAACAGCAAGTTAAATTTCCTAAGTTAGCTACTGAATCTAAAAAATGAGCTACCTCTCTATAAAGAGTCAATCCTAGAATTGGGATGGTCAGAAAAATTTAAATTTTATTAGTAAAAATAGTTAAAACAATTAGAAGGTAAATCAGTAGCCCTATTTATAGGCATGAGCCTCCTTGAAAGGTCTTGGATTTAGGCTACTTCCATGAAGTCCCTGCCTCTGGACTGAAAAGGTCCTGGAGGTCCTGCTTTGGTCCACTGAGTATAGTCTGGCAAGTGTCTGTGATGGTTATTGGGACTCTTTGATGTTCCTTCTAGAAGACTCAGTTTCTGACCTATAACTTATAGCAGGGACCTTTAGGCAAGTGTAAGGAAACAAAACAGAAACTACTTGAGACTGATAAGACCAAATGGCTCTGGTTAACTTGGTTTTTTGTTGTTGTTGTTAACTTGTTTTAATAATCAACAATACTAGACTTAGGAAAGTGGAATCCTCTGTTGAGAATAGTACACAGCAATCTATAAAGATTTAGTCAGTCATTTGTACCGAAAGTGTTTTTATGATTGCTCCCAATTAAAAAGGATATTTAGGGCTGGCCGAGTGGCGCATTGGTCAAGAGCTGGCTTGGGATGCCAGAGGGCCCCAGTTTGGATCCCACATATGAGGGCCAGTGACACTGCCCT